GTGAGAATACGCCCGGATTAAGCGAACTCAGCGAGCACGTTCGTGGGCGTTGAATGCTATCTCGACCCTATTTTCCTGTTTGCTGAGGCTTACGGCGCGAACGGGCCCGACGCTATAAGGAAAACAGAGAGACTTGCGTTGAGTTATTGCGTGTATAAAACGTATCGCGTGCCATATGTCTTAACAGTCGTCGTGCAGTCGAAGACGCGGGCGCCCACCCAACGAACGAAATGAAAGACGGGTGTGAATATGTACCGAACTTGGCGCGCCTTGTCCACGTCACATGACGCCTGCCTGGCTCCCGTTTTATCGCATGCATCTACCTCGTATCATATGTGGTTAGGTCACAGTGTCTTGTCACAGTTTGCCTCTTGCCGTAGCAGCAACACTGTACAAGGTGCAGAAATCGTGAACGTCGGTAAATAACACACGGTCGTTCGAGGTCGTTGGCAGTTAGGTTGTCTGCGTAACCTTCATGTAGGCCGAAGCCAAGGTATAACCTTTATGCTGTCGAATTCAGCATGTACTTGTCGTCACGACATTGAGTCTGAAACTCACGTACGTTAATTGATATCACTTTTATTTGTCTTGGGTGTGGTAATGCTATAATTAGACAAAGCAGCCTGGCTTTCTTGATCTCCTTAGCAACTTCATTGGTGTGTTTTTGTGCGCTGGAAGATGTATCTTGACGCATTGATTGATCGTTTTCGGACTTTTTCAACTTGACTTATAGGTGTATAAGCCTTGACCGCGTTGTCCTTGACTTAGGCGTCCGGTAGCGGCACTGACGCCGCGTCGTTCGTCCGCCTCGGTGTATTCCTACCATTGCATTATCGTTTTGTTTCGTTGCGCTGCCGCAGCGGAGCCCAGAGGCCGCTTCGGGAAAAGCGCATGGTTGAGGTGTCCCCCGTCAGGCGCCGCAACGATCACTGCTGCTCACAAACACCCTCTGCTTTTACAGTGAACTCATTCAGTTTTCATTAATTATCCTTAGTGTTATCGTTGCTCTTATTGTAAACGTATGCTCCGATATCATATCCAATATTAGTGTTATCTTCAACCAAAACCAGTTAGTATTATTTTTAGAATGCATTTCTTTTTTTTTTGGAGGGGGGGGGGGGTATTCGGAGAATTAGAAGTCAAGTGTTTGACCGGAAGCGCTTGGAAAAGGTAGTGTCACCCGGGGCTGGTGCCATGACAACGATGACTACGTCTCTGGTATCGTCCACAAGGGACAACTGCGCGGATAAAAGTTCTCCCGAAGCTGTGAGTGAATGGTTCCTCTCGGCATTCGCGGTAGCATAGCGACAGAGAACAATAGCGACAAGAAAAACACGTGCACTGGTATTTAAAGAGCTACTGACACCATTATTTTTTTAGAGCTGAGTTTACTCTGCAATACAAATCTCCCGTATGCAAACTCTAAAAAGTTTTCCGGGGAAACTGTGCAGTTACCTTGGAAAGGCCACTTGGCTCGTCTAAAAAGTGTGCAAAAGTTGGAGTAAGTGATTTTGGAGTAAGTGATGGAATGTTCGTGCCGTGTGCCAACAGCCATGTTTCCTCCCAGATGCTGCCGTAGCGTGGTGTGGTGTAGTCGTTAGTGTACGCGCATGCTAACTGAGTGCCGTGAGTTCGAATCCCGCGAGTGTGCCGTAAATTTTCCGGCATTTATTTCTGAGTATGATGCTTGCACCTCGTTTGTACATCTAATCACATGCTTGCACACACTTCGGAATGCTGGTTAAGTGAACGAAGATCTTATTTTTCTTTCGCGCAAAATAACTTCCTCCCTCGAGGAGTTACAGCGAGAGCGCGGAGTAGCTTCGCAGTTACTCCCCAATTGGAGGAAGGGCTGTGGCAGGTTATTTACCTCTCTAAAGGAGCATCCTAGATACCCTTCTTCTTTACTTTTTATAGTGTAGTGATGGCTCTGTGCTAGTGCGAAGCTCTGCGAATGCTGATAAGATATATTTTTTGATATTCAAGCCATACTCCCCTTGGCGCCCCTACCGACATTGACACTGGATAGACGTCAGGCTACAATACTAATTCTGGTCACTTCACGCAGCAGCTGTCTGGCTAATTGTGATGACGTCAGGCAGCAAGACTGCTAAAATGGCCGCTGCCGAGTCACCGACGAAGACATGATGCGGGATACGTCTCGAAATGTTGCGCATCACGTGACGAGAAGCAGCTCGTATATATACTGGTGTAGCGTCCAGGTACAGTAGGAACGTAAACTATGTTTTAGAGACTGTAATTAAGTTTTTTGACAGTGTGCACTGACAATTAGCAGCACATTTGCTGGGCCTTTCAAGGCTTGGCCTTTAATATGGTGCATTAAAACGAGAATCGAAAACTTTCGTGGCATTACCCCTTGAAGTATGTCTTGCTCGCACGTCTTGCTTAAGATATGTATAAGTGCTTATCGTCTTTAAGCACGTGGGCTCAAAGTTAATTTAAAGCACTCCACTAACGTAAAACAGGTGAACATGTCACTGTAAAGCAAGGTTGAACACTTCAACTTTGGTGATGTGTTTGCCGATGCACGCGTGTTCTGCTAAGCCGGCTGTTGACAACTGCGTTTGCGGCGGCCTTTGGGATTGTCTACCATAACGGCCCTGCTGCTTATCGGTTGACCACCTCTTGTGCGCTTTTCGTTCGCACACCGTTTCCTTATGTGCCTTTTATTGTGCCACCACATTGCATCGCTTTTTATTGGCAGCCGCCGGGGTATGCCCGTGCTATTCGAATGCGCTCGGCGTGCTGATTGCGTCCGTTGGAGAAGTGGGGTAAAATGTTCAAAGACCCTGGATCAGATGTGCATGGAAACAGGTATAGAGCTGGCGAGATAGCGGTTTCATTGAAGAGACACGTTTCTTACATTTAAAGATTTACTGATTGATTGATTAGTTGATTGATTGATTTCTAGCGAAGCTTAAGAGCTCTGTAATGTGTCGTTCTCTCCAGTGCTTTCTAGTGGGTCTCTCTCTCCGGCTGGGAACGAACGCCGTTCGTGAACTGGGCCTTGACTCGCCGTTGCGCATCGTCGCCGAATGCTGTCCAACAAACACCTTTACGGATTGATCGATCTATTGATTGAATGGAAGTGATTTGTTCAGAAGCTTTGTTTAGATCAAAACAAGTGCACTGCACAAGGCGAAAGTTCTGGAAAGATGAGTGCGCCCTTCACTAGCGCACTGGTGTCGGTTGCTGTCGCTCCACTACAGAGTATAAAACGCGAAACGTGCCCGTGACGAGGCCTTGCTTTGTTCCGCCACGATGTGCGCCTCGTTGATCGAGGGAATGAAAGGAGGTAACATTTAAATGCACGCAGGCACACGCAGTTTCCGCCTTATAAGCGTCGTATTTCACCCCGAGCATGCAGCGTACAGCGTAAATTACTCGGAACGCGCTGCCAACCGTTTCTGCCGCCCGCGCACTCTCGTTGCGGGCTAGCGCTTTGTTTTCCGTGAAGTTCGGAAATAATAATAGCGCTGCGAACAAAAAGGACTAAGAAAAGCTTCTCGATCGATTTCAGTGCCCTAAGGAGGTTTAAGATGACTCAGGTAATCCCATACGTGGTCTGATCGACTGCAAAAAAGTTTATCTGTCCCTTTTGTTCTGTTCAGACTTATTTTAGTACTCGCACCACACAAACCGCCGTTCGGACTGCTGCCGTCGTACATCTCTGGCTCGAGGCAACTCAAGCCAGCGATTCAGTATACTCTGTATATCGTTCTACCTGTGGTTCAGTTTATCGCAGCATTTTGTTCCTAGCCATTAGCCGCAGAAGGATTACCTCGGTCGTTTTAAAATCTCCTTAGATTTCTCAAAGAAAGCGCAGTCGTCATGTGCGTGTTTTCAGTTTGTTGTTTCTTAGCGCTGTGTATTCGTAGGGACTTCTAAATAGCATATAGCAAAGGAGTGGAACGTCTACGTGCACAAGGCTTTACTTCGCAAGTGGCATGTTTATGTTGTGATTTACAACTCACGCTGGAATTGTGCGCCAGATGCTATTTTGTCGCCGTCGTTTGTGGAGGTTTTTTTTTTTATAAATACACGTATACATATTGCGTGAAACGCCGTAAAAGACGCGCATATGTTTTGCGAGAAAGCGTCAAATGTTTAAGTTTTTTTTTTATTCTGGTGTCTCCCACAATAGGCGAAGTTTGCGTAATAGTACTGATTATTTGCAAAAAGAACATGTTACGTAATCGCTTACTGGGCTTCAAAGCGGTAAGTATTAAAGAATAAGTGCGCTAATTCAGTAGCTGACTCCGCTATAGTTTTGTCATAGCATTAAACAAAATCTTATGTAAGGAACTGTACACATGATATACACGCCATATTCGCATTCTCACTACTTTTTAATTGATGAATGCGGCGCCCACATTCACTCTCTGTGGTGAGTGATCCGGCTAGTGGGTTCCTAAGGTTCCCTCCGGTAGGTTGGCTCGTACCGAAATGCCAATAAACTTTCATAAAGACAAAGAACGGCGTGATGCACGAAACAAGCTGGGAACTATTGCACTTAATCTGTGATTCGAATCTTCTTTTTTTTTTCTCTTTATTTCGACGCTACATTCGTTCTTCGTTGTGAGCTCGCTCGTAGTTTTTCGATTACCTGCACTGCATGGTCGCTTTGGTATGCGCAATGCACCCTTATTGTGAAATGTCTTAAAGCTTCGTCAACGGAAATGGAAACTGTCGGACGGTGTCTCCATTGCTGAGCTAATGATACCGCAATGTCGTCGTGGCTTTCTGTTGCCTTCAAAGCGCGTTCTTGTCGTTCGTTCTTTTATGCCCCCTTTGCCCTTACCAAATGTAAGGTGGCCAACTGAATATCTCTTACGGCTAACCTCCCTGTTTTTTTTTTTTTCGTTTACCTTTCTCTACTAAGTGTCTGTTTGCACTGGTAACCTTGTGGCGTACTCGTCAAATGTAGTGATTCAAACGGAAGCGACTACGAAGACCGGTTTCTGTCTCGTGTGACGCAGGCGGTGAAGCTGGAGAGCGCCCACCCAGCGGGTCGTACCCGCTACCTGGTGGTGGTTTCCCGGACGGGCTCCCTGGGTGCCGAGGAGGCCTGCCTTCTGGGGATCGACTGCAACTCGCGAACCACCATCGGGCTCGTCATACCCGTCTGGGCAGACGCCCGCATCACGCTAGACGGAGACGGGTACGTGTGAGTGTGTGGTGATCACGCACGCTGGCACGAATAGTATACCCTGAACGTCAGCGGGGTTTGCTTATACGCCTAAGTCCGCTGTAGCTGAGTACGTTGTTGCAGCTCCGTTCGTTCTGGTGAACGATTTTTGGGGCGTGCGCCGTTAAAGTAGTTTAACCAATAGAGTGCTGATGTCAGTTTGTCGGCTAAAATCCATAGCGCTTATATTAAAAAAATAATTATCGTACGCGACAGTATGATTTAGCTTCAGCTTTGATAACAAAGGCGATAGGTGCGACTGACCTCACGGTGCGCAGCGAAGCTAACTGAAGAGTTTGACAGATATAGAAATGGACAGTCGTCATTTATTTCCATTTTTAGGCCATTATTTCTTGTCCCTTGAGGGTAATGGCACGAACAAGCACTGTTAAAGGTGTGATCACGTTTAAGGCGTGTAAACCGAATCTGTATTTAAGCTAACCATTATCGATCATTGAGATTATTCTTATATGCCCCGGAGTTGCACGAAACTGCAAATGAAGTCCCTGGGCGTATTTCCCACAGAAACTGAGCCGCAGTTTTTGGAATTCCTGCGAGGAGCGAACCAGCTCATGTGACCAGGTACGAAAAAGTAGACGCAAAGAAGACGACTGACGAAAAAGGAGACAAACGCGTTGTCTTATTTGTGGCCACTGTTTCAAATCATCCGATACCAACACGCCCAGTTGTTCACTCTTAATCGGATAGTTATAATCGCAGATTACAGGAATGAGTTAATTTAAAGACAACACTCTACATGATGTGTTCTCCCGCATTCTAAATACTCCCTGACTATATGTAAATGGTTATTAAAATATCTTGGTAAGTGTAAGAGCGTAATGATAGCATATGTACCGTTTGGTGCCAATAATATCCCTGGCGAAGACTCTATGGGCGCTTTCTGAGTCGCAGTGAAAGCCGTACAGGTAACTGAACCTCTCATTGCTTTCACATTTATGGAAATACGGCCGGCGTGATGGTTCCTCGCCAATGGTGGCGACAAAAACGTCTACCTTGACCTGTGACAGTTTGTTGTGTCGTTGTAAACTTTTCTGTAGTAGGTCACGCATTTCCGAAGTGCTTGATGCCTACCTGTGAAATTTTCTGCAGATTTCGAACAGTATAGTCGAATGACCATTGTATGACGATGTAAATAACGTGCGCCGTGACACCACCTCATTTATTGGCAAGCGCGTGAGTTAAATGTCAGGGTTCGCTGTATCACCGTGTTTTGTTGTTGTTTTTTCACGAAGTTGAACATTTTACTCATAAGTAATCGTTTTCTTAGTAATGCACGGCAGCTCCTGACCAGCTAACCTACATTATTAGTCTATGACGTAATGCAAGTCGTAATACATTACATTAGTACGTTACAAAACTGTACATTAGTAATCTACGACTCGGTAATGTGCGGCGGTTTCTTAATAATATCTGCCATGGACCACAACAGGACGGAGATATAGCAATAAGCCGGGTCACGCTACAGGCAAAACTATCGTTGACTTGGCAGCCATTTCCGATTGTTTGCCTTTTCTCCCTCTGTGGTGCAGTTGCTAGCCGACTTTGCGCCTATGCGTGAGCTATACATGTTTGGATGAGGCATCCCCTCGGGTTACCGAAGCTGTTGTCGTACCAGAACGCCGCATATTTCGTCTTCCTTGTATACCTCACGAGAAAACTGCAGTGCTGGTGCGTCGGTGTACCGTTCGCAGTGTGGTGCATATATACTGCAGTTTTTGTTCGGGATGTGAGTGTGGCCTGCGGTGTCAGTGATGCTGCAAGTTTCCGCCTTAGCGCGCTGTGTGACTCGTATAGACTATAGGCGAGTTCGCTGCCGTTGGTGCGCGATTTCAAGCGAGGTCGTTGCTCCCCGCGTGCCTGCTTTGCTTACACGTGCGCGCGCGCGTACACAAACAGGGGAGTCCGGCGCGCGTTCATCCGTATCCGCATCTCGTTTTGGAAACGGAGCCTGGCATGCTCGCCCCTGCCAGGGTGCGCGCTCGTTTCTTTCTCGCACTTTATTTCGTTCGTTTCACCTCTGGCGCCGATAGCGAAGCACGTGGCGTTTACGTCTGGCGGCATCGCCGACTGCACCGACGAGAGTGCGCCCGCATATTCCAAACAGAAGGGCCCTTACGGCTGCCGCAGTTTCTCTATCGACAGCTCGCGAGCTATTTGTGGTAGAGGCAGTGCGGTGATCACGTGTGTGTGTGCAAGTAGCGTGGAGGCTTACGCAAGAGGACAGGGTCCCCGACCGCCCATGTACACCTATTAGCAACAGGATTAAGGCATGGTGGCCCTCATTTGCTATACCCGCATTTCAGCCTGCCAGTAAACAGCTTGTCTGATGGGCTATGTTTCGCAGTGATAGATGATATCTGTTTTTTTCTTTCTTTCTTTTTTTTTTCTTGTGGATAATTTTTCAGCCTGAGTACTCACCTGCTTATAAGAAGAAAATACTAGAGTTCTGTAACTTACTATATGAAAACATCATTTGGTTAACCTGGCGGATGTTTCAAAATGATGACATTAAAATTTGCCAAGCATGAGTGTGTGGATCCGTGCATTACATAAACGGGTATCTTTTTCGTTACCTTTACGCAATGCTGTGGTCGAAAGTGCGTCACCAGAGCAACGTTCTATGGGTGCCTACGTGCGCACCTTCTAAAAGGTGCGTGTGCGCTTCTACAAGCGAGCCAGTCGGTATCCTTATTTTACGCTTTTGTACAGCGGTGCTACAAATGCCCGCAATCTTGTATTGCAAAACCCTTAAGCTTTCCCATATTGCTAGCGAGGGTCGGCATGCTGTACGCCGTAAGTCTAGCTAAAACACAAAGTTAACCTACCTTAAAGGCCCACGAAGAAGTAGTGTGTACCGTATGATACCGGCAGCAATATTATCCCTTTCTCCTACTTTCTTTCTCTCTCTCTTATTCTGAGTTGTCTTTAGTATAGTGAACTATAGTCTTTAGAGCAAAGACAAAATCCTTTCGATAAGAAAGCACGAATACGAGACCTCGCTCTCTCGATGCTGCGCCATGTCCAGTACCTGGCCAGGAATTTTGCCTCGCTTGATTTTGTTGTTATTCTTTCTTGCGCTATTAAGATTCAACAAGACTTCGTCACTACCTGTGACGTCACCCCGCTTCTGTGGTCTAGCTGACTCGAAGGTCGTGGTGTAGAATCCCGGCCGCGGCGGTGGCATTTCGATGAAAACGAATGACGCGCTCTTATCGATTAAGGTGCTCGTGAGAAAACCCCAGGTGGTCGAAATTCCCAGAGTGCCTTTCTATACGGCGTCTGTCTTAATTATATCGCTGTTTTTGGACGTTGAGCCTCAGTAATTATTATTGTCATAATTTAATTGTGACGTCGTTGGCAGCGTTGGTGAAAACTTATTTTTTAGGTCGGTTTCCACCCCGCTATATACACCTATTCTTCAGCCACGGCATGTCCCAAAACTCCAGCGAAACAAATCGGTTCGCTCCTCGGGGTTAGTGCTCGAGCAACGTACATCGTTTTTTTTTGTTTGTTTTTGTTTTTTTTTTTCTCGTTAGCGGCGAGATTCAGGTCCCGCCCACTGGCAAGGTCGCCGTTCGTCGACTATCATGCGTTCGCCACCTGCATAGCGGCGCAAGCACATATGTGCGCTATATATCCGAAGCTCGCGTGATGAGTTACTGCGGAAGTTCTCCGTGGGGGACGTGCCTGCGGTAAACATGGGTATACGTGTGCATCGACAATACAGGATGGGCTCCCAGGGACATCATGTCGGCACTGGCGACACCCAGGGTATGATTGCACGCACATGGATGACGCACGCCGTGTTTCATTCGATCTCGAAAGCATGCAACGTCAGAGGGCGTGTATATATAATGGTTAAATTAATAGGGGGTATTCAATAGCTTAACCCTCACCTTTTTCGTAATTGTATTCGGCGCTTTGTGTAAAGATAACAGTTAAAAATAGAATAGCGTGCCTAATTTTGTGGTCTTAGCAATTGGTTTAATAAAAAAAAAAGACCGACGATGGACATGAAAAACTGCTTTTTAATGAACAATATTAAGGACGAAATGTAAACGCTACTATTGGATAATTTTGAAGAAAAGCTTTGCCGAGAAGACGTTATTTGAAGGCGCCTTGTGGCACAATGCCCGCACAGGGGAATGTTTACTAACAGGTTAATGCTGCCTTCATTAGTGCTGCGAGTGCATTGCATATGAAATTGATGCTTCGCACACGCGTGAATGATTCTTCTGTGAAAATACCTGTTAAAACAAAATGCAGCAGCGGAATTATTGCTATGAGCTTCTTCTTAACAGCTTAGTGCTCCTTCTATGAGTCGGCGTTACAAACGTAGTTTTACCATGCGTGCGTTACGAAAACATGTGCTTTCTACAACGGAGCGAAATCTAGACAGATTAAAAGCGACAGGGTATGTGCTGACATCCAACAAAGTTTTACGGTGTGAGGGATAGAGGTGTAGCCACAAATTGGTTTGGTTTGAGAAAAACTTTATTGTGAAAGTCCGAAGGCGTGCGTCCTTAGCCACAGATGAGAGAAAAAAATAAAAACTTTCATGAACTGATAAAATGCATGGCATAGGCTACTGAAGCGTACGCAAGCGCGAAAGTGATGTTGTTGCATATATACCAGGCATTGTTGCCTGGTGATTGCTTGTATTCCGAACTGTTATCATCAAAGACTGCGCATGATGATATGCCATAAGGTCTTTATGAATCACATCTGCAGTTTCACTGTTATTTTCACTCGTACTATGTGGCCTTTGGTGGTAAGTCAACTCGTGTTCCGTAATATCTATTCCCGCTTTCATTTGGATTCCTTCGGGGCACCGAGGAAAGTACTTTTGTGGAGAAGAACTTAAGGACTCCGGGAAGGCCCCGCCCAGACGACCGAAGTGCAGCAGCCCATCGCCTCTGCGACTAAAGAAATAGTCCCACTCGCGCACGCGGCAATGTTGCCATTGCTCATCCCACTCATGACGTCATTGTGAAGTGCGCGTCACTAGGCGTAGGCTTGTGTGCATCTGTGTTTGGGGTTGAAATGCCGCGGACTTGTAAAAGTTGTCATACGACTGGGTGAATTTCGGACACAACCTAATGAAATCACAATGCAATGAAGGATTATGTAAAGGAAACTACTAATGGTCTTTTTGGGAGTGCGGTGTTCGCCGTCACTACTCGGACGAGCGTGAGTGGCGAGCCGCCCTTCTGAGCCCACGTGCAGTGGACCAAATCTGGGCTGTCCATCGAGCCAGGGTGTTAGAGATGGGAAGGAAGAAGTTGCAGGTGATGGCATCCCACCGCTGCCACCAGTTGTTAAGGTTGCGGAAAGAAGGACACTGGAGGATACGAAAACAGAACAAGTTTATGTCACTATTTACACATATTTACAGAAAGGAAAAGTTAGTGGTTTCACAAACCACGAGCGTGGTGGTTGAACGTTACATAGTTCAGAGCGCCGTCCAGCACTCCGCGGCGTCGTTTTATGCACTCTCCGGCTCCTCCTCTCCGAGTGGAACACCAATCACACACAGGTGAGGGGGACGAGCATGCATGGTCCACGTGAACACTGCACTGCAAGGTAGCGCCAGCAGGGCTCTTCCTTGTCGTGTGTGTGCCGTTAGTCGAGAGTTCCCACGATCCTGGCAGCATACTTCAAAGGGTCCGCCGAACAGCTCGCCCAATTAGCGGGGCGATCTGCGGTGGCCGTCGCAGTCTCTTTCAGGAAGACGCCGTCCCTGTTGCCCTCTTTCGTCGTGGCGTCGCAGCGACACGATGTCTCCTCCTCCGGCCAGCAGGGAAAATGCCTGGCGGGCATAGGCAGTCGGCCGGTCGGCTACTTGACAGAGGATTAAAGAAGCGCCGCTCCGCCGTCAGCTTTGGCGCCGGTCACGCCAGCTTTCCTGTCGCCCGATGAGTCGCCGAGGCCATCAGTCACGCTGCTGCTTGAAGGGACGACAAAAGGGTCCGCATTTGAAGAACGGGAACTCGCCTTTGCTTGCTGCTTGGTCTGGATAATAGCTCCAATCTTCGACAGCGTCTGTCAGACTGGGCGCCGAAGGGATTGAGAGACGAATCTCCAGGCCAAACCTAACAAGGGTTATCGCCGATGACATCGCACGATGCTCTTGGAGGCCTAGCACGGGCCAGTGATTCCTCGTTGGATCTTTAATAAAGTTTATTACCTATTTCCCTACCTTAAACTGTAGTGTGGCAATTATAAATGCAAAGTAATTGAGGTGTAGACAAAGGCAGCTTTACTGCTGGTATGGACCGAATGTACAAGCCTAGGATTTCCGGCACTTAGTATCTTGTTTACAAGATTGTTTCAAATGCGTGTAAATTCCGGTACGCGTACACATCGCCGCCGCTAACAGTTGGGGTTGCAGGACAGCGTAAGCCACGCAGTGCATGCAAAGCACTTGCGTACCGTTGTGGAGCGGTTGCATATATATAGTCGAAACAGAGTTTTCTGGCTCATCTGTGGCACAACTTTGGCGTCGTTATGCGCCCGCTGTGTTCAGTCGCGTCGGCACGTGTCCTCGGCAGGTGGGCGGGCTGTTGCTCCTCGTCGATTTCCGCTCGCGACAGGTCGCGAGCGGATGCGCGCACGCACTCCCGCCCGCTTGGTAGCACAGCGCCGCTTTGGCCACCTATTGCTACCGCCTGCGGCCTGCAGTTTGACTCACTCCGCCTTTGTCGCCGATATGCCTGTCGGAGTGACAGTGTCATCGGCGAAGCCATTTTCGCCTCACTCGTGCCTTAGCGCCTGGTGACCGTGTACTCCTCGGGTGTATACTCTGTGGTGCCAGCCTTTCGATGGCGTCTTTTGTTTTAGGCTGTGTATACTCGCAACGTCCCGACCCTCGGACGGAAATCGTCGTCGTATATATGTGGCCGGACGGATGTTCACGGCGTCGTATAGGTGACCAGATGGATGTCCATGGTAAAGCGCAACTGTTGGGACAATTTGTGATGACGCTTCGCTTGTTATTGTACCATGGTAGCCTTGTACAAATACGCTCGTGTGGGAATATTTCTGGCATCGCCCTGACGTTTCCTTTTGTCTCCCCCTCCTCCAATGAGTTGGAGCAATGGTTATTGTGCTCGACTGCCGAACGGAAGGTCGCGGGTTCGATCACGGCCGTATTTCGATGAAGGAGTGCTGGAGGCCCATATACTGTGTGACGTCAGAGCACGTCAAAGCACACCTGATGGTCGAAATTTCCGGAGCCCTCCACTACGTCGCCTTTCATAATCGTATCGTGTTTCTGCCACTTAGAACCCCCGTGTATTAATATCCTGTTGTTTCCGCGCAAAGAGTGTTGTGATTTATGGCAAGCTCTCCATTTACGTCTTCGCCTATGATGTGTGCACAAAGATAACGTCTGTTTCGTACTTATAACTCCCTGTTTGGTTATAGGAGCTGACTCGAAGAGCGATTGCGTGCAGTTGTATCCGCGGAAATTTTTCAATTGATCGGAAGGTCAGTAATTATTGCAGTCAGCAAGACAACGGCGACATAACGTTTGGCTTGGCATACGAACTATCACTGTAGTCGCGGTGTTTGCGTGATAATCGAAAGGCATATCTGGATACTTGTCATTAGTGCAAGTCAGCGTCGCTAAGAGTTAAGTGCAGTGTCCGTAGCACTGATCGCACTTGAAGGGTCTGGATGGGACCAAATAGCAGTAAACGGCAACAGTGATGTTTACAGGTGGTGTTAAGAGCATTACCATCGGTTGTATTTCGTTTTACTGATGATGCTTGCAATTAAGTCCTATCATACTAACCATTAGAGTAGTAGAATATATTTTATTTATTTATTTATTTATTTATTTATTTATTTTGGGAAACAGAAATGAGCAATACACCATCCCTCGAGCCTGAACTCTTTGAGCATCAGGTCCCGCGGTTGCGCGGTGTTTACTCAGAGAACTTTGACGCTATTCATTATTTCTGTTCTAGATTCCGCGTACGCTCGCTAAACGCGGATTATTATGCTCATCGTTGTCGATGCTCCCCACAGTGTAGCAACGTTGACAGTATGTCGCGCGCATGAGGATAGAGCAATGAACAAGTTTCTGACTGATATTTTTTTTTATGTTTCAGAGGTTTCAGCGTAACATCCAGCAGCGGGCATTACATTTTCAAGCCGGTTTCTGTGCAGGCCATGTGGTAAGTGCGGACGATTGCCTTTTTGAATTGTTGTCTCGTGTGATCACAGGTGTATACAAGAAGAGAACTTTGAAATATATATCCCGGGCCTCCGGAAACAGTTTCACTACCGGATTCCCACGTCTTGACTCGCAGCGGTCGAAAATCGCCAATATCTCGTTTCTCGGAAAGGGAAGTTGAGACAGATTGTGAAACATTGATAAGAGGAAAGTGCTGGTTGACGGCTCTTTAAGACTGCCTCATCTCCCCTCCCGCCCTTGTTTTAGGGATCTTTGTCCTGTCAGTACTACGTGCGGATATTCTTGATAACTTCTTCAATCAAGGAGCGGCGCTGTGCACTCGGTGGAGCTATAAGCAACGACTGTGAATCGAGGATCGTTGGAGAACGCGCGAGATAAGTCTCCCTGTAGATATGGTGCAAGATTCAGTAATGACCTTTCAGGGGACAGAAGGTCAAGAATGATTGCGATTCATTGCCTTTGGTCTATATAGGGGTTTCATGTTGTGAAAGTTAGCGTTCGTAAAAAATGAAGCCTTATATCTGACTTGCGCCGATGACGCGGGGTACCTGTGTTCGAACGCTTTCGGTGGGTCTTGTTGAAAGAGGAATAAGGGGCAATTTGGCTCGTATTGGGACGCTGTGATTGCGCTGAACAATGCTGACGGAAAACGAAGCAAGACGGTACTGGCGCTGAAGTTCGATTTTTTTTTTTTTTTCAATGATTGGCATCGTTCAGGCGCCGATGACTCCAACAGAAGAGAAAGCATGAAGATTCTGTAAGCTAACAAAGACAGAAAACAAGCGTTGTAAGACATTTCTTTAAAGGTTATTCCGAAGGCCATGTTCGTAAGGCGGTAGAATGTGGGTGGGGGGTGGGGGTGGGGGGGAGCGTCAAGTATGGTTTCTGGCCTTGTTCGCATAGATAAACTGCAGTTTCGGTGTTGCGATCGCTGCCGCTTTATGGCCCGACGAAATCCGCAAACAGTCGTTCGTTTGCATTGGGCGTTGATGTGCGCGCATTGTGTGCAAGCCAGCTAAATAGTGACCACAAAGGCGGGTCATCCGCTGTATCGTAGACATTAATTCTGGCCTCCTATTCTTGTCCTGCAAGCAGCAACGAACCGAGAAACTTGTGTGCGTATTTCTTTTTTTTATTTTGCAGAACTACGGCGTTGTTTTCGCGTTCAACAACCGTGGTGTGCACTCACTTGGTCGGACGTGCTTCAAAACCCAACTACATAGGGATCGTGCCAGCGGAGATTCCTTTGTCTCTATTGTGCTTCCATGTAGGGGGACACCGCCATGCATTCAGACATGGTCTATCGGCAATTGTTTGTATGGGTCCTTGACGTGAATTGTCCTCTGCGAGTCGAGCGAGAGTTCGTGGTCTGTGTCCTTGGCCGACGGCGTCAACCCTAGTGCCTGTGCACCGGAAGTCGCATATTGTGTGCGCCCCCTATACTGAGCTCGACGACAGCCTTCGTTCTTCGGGGCACAACGCTTCTCTAATCACTTTGTCGTCCGTTCAGCGCTTACACCCTATGATCTGAGGAACATAAGCAACAATAACATTCTTATAAGCTCAGTGATTGGCGATTATCAGTTGCTTCCATGAATCGATCTATTCGCGTGAGCAATGCGAAATGTACCGGTCGAGATAGTAGGAGATGCGACGCGATCGATAAACGAGATGTTGAGAGCGCCTTTATACTGTGCAAAAGAATTTGCGGACAACGTACTATAAAATGTTTACGCAATTGAAGGTCGCGCGGCCATAGCTCGCCCGTGTTGGATATGCAAACTCCGGCGACGCACGCAATTCTTGGCCATGTTCGTTTTCCGACGTACTCACAATCTACTCTTAACTTCTTGCTAATACCTACGACCATTTTGTGTAGCCGTGGGAGGTGACAACCCGGTAATTTTTCAAATGTGCATATATATCCGCAAACGTAGAGGCGCGCACGAGTTTACATTAAAATAAAATGATTAGACACCACCTATTCGAGAAGAAAAAAAAAAATTGGCTACGCCGCTGTTTTGGTCACAACCGCCTCCGCATTCAAGAGAAAGAGGAAACGTTCCAACACCTGCCTATTTGCTACACCGAGTGTGGCTGTCGACCTTGAACTCTTGTTGCTGCAGCTCCGGCGGTTAGGTCGCCTTGTTTCACCCCGAGTACATGCGCGGGTCATGCGTCTGAGTTTTGCGTTCTTTCGAGGCTCGGTTCCCGCCGTTGTACTTTGTAACGAGACCCCCGCGGAGCTATTGAGTCTGCTCTTTTATGGAGGCACTTTCTCCGAGGGACCCGTAGTGTTTATTTGTCGCCGCGTGCACTCTCGCTCCTCTCGAGCCCGACGCGGTCGGTGGTGCGACAACGTGGGAGTGTATCCCGGTCGCGACCTCGGACGGGCGGTGCCCGAGAGCGCTCTTTCGTTAGTGGCGATGTAGCGGCGGTCACGGAGGAGTGCCAGAAATCAGACCGTTTAACGGCCGTCACGCATCGTCGCTATAGAGAGGCTTTCGTGGTTCTGTAGATTGTGTTTTCTTGGCACGTGGCGCTGGAGTGCACTTAAACAGGACCAGTCGAGAGCGGTTTGCGCGCCCTTGAAGCTAAATGCGTTCAACTGAAGGGTTAAGCGCCTCCGTGTTTTCATACGGGGGCGCGGACCTCTTCTAAAGGCGCCACACTTAAGAGCTTCTTGTTGTCTGCTCTTTCGCGGCACACACGCACTGACGGTCTTGTGAACTGCCCGGCCAGTGCTTATAGGCTGAGACTGCACGCCGGCACACCCTGTGCCCGTATGGCGTACATTTCTTCGCGTACACTGCAGCATGTACGCTGATGTAGGGTTAATGCGCGTGCTGCATGTACAGACAGGTCAGACAGGTGTTATATGTACAGACAGGTTATATGTACAGACAGGTGTTATAGGGAGTGCCTGCGTGCTCAGCATGTTTGAATTTCGCAATTCTACAGAAGCATAGTAGCTTAGATTTGCATAATACTACTGGTGCTTCACAGTTCCGACTCCTCTTGACAGGCTAGTGGCGTCCATGAACATTTTCTGCTGTAGGGCCAGCAGTATTGACGACATTCATTCGAGTTTTCCCTTTAATTGTGGACCGTACCGTACATTAACAGTACACTGACTTTTCCGGCGCCTACTGAAAGATGAAGAGTCAAAATTCGGAACTGTACGGTTGAGCTGGCGGGGGCACGTCTGTGAACACTCTTGTGAGATATCGGGACCGTAGGGTGTCTTTAAAAGAGCACTGTTTCTAGACGTAATTCGAGCTCGTTGCTTCGGAACAGTGATGCCGTGCGCCGTTGACATCAGGTTAAAGTTGGCTTTTGTACGAATGCTTCCACGGTTCTGTAATCGATGGACGTACAAACGAACAATAGGAGCTTCGATACCAAACATGAAATAATAATAATAATAATAATAATAATAATAATAATAATAATAATAATAATAATAATAATAATAATCTTTTGTGAGTTGCTGACACGGCTCCGCGTCGGGGAATCCAGCTTTATAAGTTTAGTGGGCTGTGCTTTGTCGTTTTGCGCGCAATCTAGTAGGCGCTGGGTCAACTTCGTAGAACGTTAGCCTCCGAGATCAAGAGGAGTTTCGCGACGTTTCCGCTAGGGGAAGAATGCATGCGCCATGGCTGGGTGACAAAAGGCGAATTGCTTGGATACATCAAATTCGTTGACAACGCGTACGTGGTATGCCCGCCACCAATTACCGTTTGAACTTTTCCTCGTAACTTTGTATCGCGTGCACCGGATCTTGCAGCCGATTTAGATCAACAAAGAAGAAAACACGCGCACTCAATGAAACAACGAAAAAAAAAACTGCTAAAAAAGTCGACACAAAGGAATTAATGGCGGCAGTGTTGAAAAGCTGTACACGGAAGTCATCAGTTTAGCAAGACTTCATTATGATTCGTTTTCGTTCTGGCAGACGTTTGCACATACAAAAATATAATGAGCGAGTTATACCGCTGTCATGCCGTCACTTTTGATCGTGATTGGGCTTGATCTAGATGAAATTCCTTGACCGTGATTGGTACATTTGAGCAAACTGCTTAAGTTACCCATTTACTGCCAGGAAATTTTGACCCGATCGGGCTTAATTGTTGTCAGCAGTGTACCGTGTAATACCGATATAACGTTCACGCAGCTATAGAGGTATACTGTTAGCGTTAATATACAGTTGGGTATTCATCCCCGAACCGCCTTTATATAAAAAGGCGCTACTATATGGGTGAACTATGCGAGCTAATTAGTAAATAACTCAAATTTTCGTTTCGCATTCGCGGTTGTTGCGATGATGGTGACACGCCGTTTATATTTATTGACACGTGGAATATCGTGCGCCACGAGGAAAGAGACATCATGGCTGACCTTTGCATGCATTTTGTTCACTGCTGGTTTCGAAGAATGGCTGTTCTCGTTTATTATTTTTTTTTACTTTTGTGCCGATAGCGTGAAAAGAGAAGACGTAGTTACATCCTCCCCGAAAGCGTATTCGCGCCTGAGGTTCCAACAGAATGTGCCCTCCGTTTGTGTTTAGTTTCGGAGTGAGCAACCGCACCCGTGTTTTGTTATAGCGTTCCGCGGGCTGCCGACGTGTAACACCGGGGAGGCGAAACTTGCGCTCGTTTTTCCGCGCTATGTACACAGACGGTCCGTCATCGCGCTTGCGGCGTGTGATCATGCAACGAGGAATCGTATTTCGTGGCTGTTGTCGTCGGGCCTGTTCGAAAACATCCCCACCTTCTCTTTTTTCTTTCCAAGAATAGGCAGTTCTTTTTTTTTTTTTTCTCCTGGCTGCAGAATTCCGGGTTGGTGATGATGAAAGACGTCTTTGCAATGTGCTGCAGGTGCCACTATAGTTTAGGCTAGCGTTACAGCGCGTTATTAGGATTCGGAAGAGGCTTATTGGCGATACGTTTGTGTCGTGATTCTACGAATGCAACGCAGATA